CACTACTGATTGACCATGTTTGATAACCACATTGTAACTTTTTTGACATCCCTCAGAAACACAAATGATAAAAAAAATTAAAACCGAGTGCACTCTTCATCGATGTTAATATTTTTCAAAACATGTTTGATCTCCCAATGGATTTTTTAATCACCTTAAATAATTTCTAAAGGGTAAAGTATCGAAAAACACGAATTCTGGATCGAATTTCAATTTTCAAAAGATTTATCAACAAGGCAGCACAATTATTATCTATAGGAGTTGAAATATCGAAAAGCAAAAATCCAAATCAAATCACTTGTAAAAATGGTCTATGTGTAAATTTGACTGTCGTAGCCATTTGTTTCGATAACCCAATTATTAGAGGCAGCTGTAGTCGGAAGGTTCTAGGTTCGACTTTAAGTAGATGGGTTCATTATTTCTTTTATTTATATCTCAGCTTTTTCAATTTGTCTTTGATTTATTTTCAATTGGGGATTATAATATTTTTATATTGTAAAATATAATAATTTAAAACATCCTTTATTAAAATATTATTAAACGAAACTGGATAGAAAAACATTTGCTTGTTTGTTAAATTTGTTTTTTTTTTTTGTTAGTGGGTTTGTTAGGATGTCTCCTACTTTCTCTTCAGATCGATTGTATTGAGTTTTTATGAAATTTTTCTTGTTCTTCTACGCTGTTCCAGTGGTATCATCTATTATGCTTGCTTCTTTTGTTTTTATGAAATTTTTCTTATTCTTCTACGCTGTTGAAGTGGTATCATCTATTATGCTTGCTTCTTTTGTTTTGTCTTGTCTTTATAAGTGTAATTGCACTTTAATTTCGCGTATCTATATTTGTGTACACATTCCGTATACCATTATCTGTCATTTCATTAATTATATTTTTTTATGTATTGTAGTTCTTTTACGCAATCAGCTGCTGCTATTTCTTCTACCTCTATCTTTAAAAGAACTACTTTATGTGATGTTATGTATGGGGGATATTAATACACTGCGACCTAAAAGATTTATTGCATCTCCTTCTGTAGATCCTTATGTCGCTAATGCAGTGTATAACGACCCTTCCAATCCTTTCTTCTTATAAAAATGCAGAATTTAGAATGGCTTCAATTTAGGTAGATTGCTTACTTATGGAGGTTTAGTCCTTTTCCTCGCAGAATCTGCACTCACTATCTTTTACCAGTCTTTGTTGACTAACGTGTCCTTTGATTTGACAATGCCTGGTAAAGATCCCTGTTCTGTATATGTAACTTATGGAGTGTGGATTAATCCACGGTACTTAGGCTTCACTAGGACAATTATGCATACTCTTAGCTCGTGAGCCAGCCTACAGATTAAACGTAGTTGGCAACGTCGACAAGGGGTGCACTTTTATATCGGCCGGTGTTAGCCAACTCTCGCCAAACATACATTTTCTAATAATAGATAGTGTCTGGCAATCATAGAGGATATACTCGATGTTCTCATTTTCTTATTCGCACTTCCTGCATAGTGCACATTCTGACAGCTCCATAATATGGAGATGCTTCCGCACTTAGCAATGACCAGTCAGAATGCCTGTAATCAGGCGTGGATTCTGTCTAGTCATAGTCAAGTATTTGTTTACTGTAGTGTTGTCAGGGTAACTAAAAAGCTCCCTAGAAAGTCCGCAGCTTCTTGTTTCATTCCATCTTTCCTAGAATTTCATAAGGGAATGTTCTTTAATTAGGTTTGTCACTACCGATGGTGTCAGTCCGATAGAATGGCCAGGTTCAAAGAGTATTTGGTTGGCTGCCTTCTGGGCTAGTGAATTAGCAAGACGATTACCTTTCAATGTGGTGTGATGTTTGATCCATCTTGAATTGACCACATTGTTGATGGATACTTCAGCCAATGATTCGTGATATCCTAGTACTAACCCTGAGTAAATTCGTGTAAAGTAGTGCTTGTTTGCTATCGGTAAAGATGAGCATATTACTTCCAGTGATAATATTTTTAGTTATTTTTTTTGCTGCTATAAGAATTCCCGTGAGCTTCGTTTGAACTATTGGTCAGTATTGGTCGCGGCCAATTTTATGTTTAGCTTTAGGGATCTGGAGTATATTTTATATCCTAAACCTTGTTCTGTTTTAGAATCGTCGGTGTAGATATAAACCGTACATGCTTCTTCTGAATGCCTGCTATAGTCTCTTTTTGCTCAGGCAAAAGTTTCATCCTATCTTAATCCCAAATTATCGTTCCAGTTATCGGTTCTTCTACTACCCAATTCTTTGGTAATCTTTTCTAATATTGTGTTACTGCTGATACCGTAAATCGGTTCAGGTCTCACAAAAAGTGTTTGAGACCCTTTCCTTCTATGACTTTCTGCAATTTCGTTACTCTTCACCCCATTATATTACGGACCTGTATTTTCCTTGCCTAGCTCATTTAGTTTTCCTAATCATCTGCAGACCATTTTTGAACTGATTACGTAAGAGTTTAGCGCTTTGATGTCTGCTTAGCTATCAGACATGATGCTAATCTCTTATCTACTTTAGGTTGTTTAGTTGAACATCTTACTACAGGACTGTCGCAAAACATGATAACAAACCAGTGGTTTAAGTTATTTTAGGTCTTTACTAGTTTTGAAATCAAAAATTCTTGTAATATTGTATTTTCTAGTTCTGGTCGAATTTCAATTTTGAGAAAAATGTTGAATCATCAGGGGGAGCACAATTAAGATCCAAAAATGTTTAGAAGGGAGTGAAAATCCGAAAAAAATTAAAATCTTTCTAAAAACTGAAAGTTCAGAAATCAAAAATAAAAGCAGCTAAAATAAACGAAAGTATGAAAGCTGAACGAGGGGGTGGGTGACTCAGTGGTTAGACTCTGGACTGTCGAATTCAAGGGTCCCGGGTTCGAATGTCATCGTTGGCCGTGATTTTTTAATTTAATTTGATAATTTAAAAATAATTTTGATGCCTAGGTAGGTATTCCCCACTCCGACCATTCACTGTTAAGTTCTAATTAAGAGTGCAGCTCCATAAGTGGCGCTGTGAAACAGTAACAAAGCCTACACATAACACTTATGAATAAAACTCAAACATAAACTGAGACTGGCTTATTAGGTATATATACCTAAACCATAAAACAAAAAAAAAAACAAAAATGAAAGCTGAAGGTTTATGCACTAAAGAAAGTTATAATCACTAAGTATCACTCAGTATTGCATTTTTCATTCCTGTTGGGTCCTAAGAAATATTTTATACATAATTACATAATTATAAATCATTTTGAATCTCTATTATGTCATCTTAACGATTTAATCAGTTTTCCAAATTTACAATTTTTTATGGTTGAAATTCAATCCAGAACTGCTGTTTTTAGATAATATTCCTTTTCAAAAATATGTAAAAAAGTGGTTTAAAAATAAAATAAGTGACCAAATATGGTCAAATATTGGTCAATCCAATGGTACATGCAGTTTTAAAAATGTATAACTTCTGGGAGCCTGTGGGCACTCGAACTTTATTTTTTTAATATTTTGTTAACTGAGAGTGGCAAAAAAATATTTGGATGATCAAACATGGCCAGTCAGTTTTGAAACTAGAATTTTGGGGGCCAGCTTCACACAGCTCCAAATATTTCTACTATACTGGACCCAGTCACCCAATGTTGGTACAATAGTTGAACATTTTTAAATGTATAATTGACACCGTAAGTGTTGCAAGGTTATGTATTAGGTCTCTTAAATATAAACATATAATAAATTATTGTGTAAGTAAATATACTGCCTTTTATTCATCTAACAATCAATATTTTTTATTATAATACTTGTTTGTTTTTTTATTGTAGTATATAATATAAGCTTATTTTGCATTTTTGTTTTTTGTTTTTTTTTTTTCGTTTCATAAGAGATGTAAGCTATTGTATGAACAGCAACAAATTAAACACAGAAAAACACAAAATTGTTGTTTTCTTAAACTATTTACCTATTCAAATATCCAAATATATTTTACCACTAGTTATTTTTGCTGTAATAGTTTATTAAAATACAAGTTGCAGAAGACCACATATACCCACACGAATTCGAAATTTCCGAACAAATCAGTCTTCTGCATGTGTTTTATGTTTATTTTCTCGATTTTGGGCTATATTTATCGTTTTTTGTGGTCGTTGTTGGGAATTTTTTTCGCAATATATGACAGTTAGTAACACTTAGTTACTAAGGGGAAATTTATTTACTGGAAAAGTTGTGAATGTCAACTGAAATGTTACAGAAAATTTCACCAAAAATCGTTTAAGAATGAGCTTCATTCTTCAACGATTTTGTGCGCGATAATATGACATTCTTACACCATAATCGAGAAAAATATTTATTTCTCATAAAAGTTAAGAATCATAGCCAAAATTAACTCAAAATAAGTATTTTAATTAAAATTTGATATGGGAGGCTTAAGAAATCAAAGATTTACATATTTTTTATAATTTGCATGTCTAGAAGCTTTTTGTCTTAAAATCAATTTGATTCATGTAGCTAAATATGTTTCTTATAAATGAACACACTTAACAAATATTTCTAATAAATAAAAAGTTAATATTTTTACTTATTTTGTACTCCTGTTTCTTTATTTTTATTTTCTTCATTTCGTCCTTCTTTTCATTTGTCTCTTTGTGTTCTTCTTCTTTATTCTTTTTTTTTATTCTTCCGTTCTTCATTCTTCTATTTGCCCATGCTTCCACTTCTTTCATTATTAATTTCCCACATTCTCATGTCTTCTATATTTTTCCTCTACTTGCACATATTTTCTTAATACCTAAAGTACCTATATAGATAAATGAATTTCGTTGAGTTCTGGAAACCTGTCAATATTTATTTTCAAACTTGCGTGAAGACGTCATTGATGATTTTTAAATAGATATAGTAAAATAATTTCTTTAAATTGCTTCATACATTTTTTTTTGTATTTGTCAACATGAATCATATTGTAGCTCAATCTAAGTCTACTTGACTTAACCCCTCTTTATTTTTTGCAGGTGAGGACACGGTCCTTGGAGACCACACGTACAGGTATCTGACGGCAGATGAGATGAAGTCTTTGGGCGACGATTCGCTACCGATAGATGTCACTAGAGACGAAAGGATGGATTCAAATAGAATGATTTCGTCCGTCGACGGAATGCCGCCTATGATCATCGAGGACACTATTAGTCCTGAACATATAACGCAGAATTACGTGGAGTATATTAAAAAGTACGCTCCTGATAATGTGGATATAAACAGGCATCCGATTAATATTGGGTAAGTAAAGTGTGATGGTGAAATTGAGCAATATTTTAAGAAAAAGGAATCTGTATTAAAATTGATATAATGTTATGTATAGTTGTAAAAGAAACTCTATTTTTTAAATTCCTGTTCAGTACAAGTTAGATTATTGGCTATTGTCTAGAAACCTTTATTAATTTTCTCCTCTATGGCTTTTTGGGCTTAGTTTTCCTTCTTTAATTTAGGATCGTATTAATATACCTAACCACAGTATACGTATTACAACTTCTTTCTTTTTCTGTCAAATCGGGACAATTTTTTTTTTGACAGTTACAAATATACAGGGTATCCCAAATGTCATGGATATTATTAAAAAAGAAGACGAAAAATATATATGAATACCTGTCCGTTTCTTTACTGTTTTCAAGTTATCGCTAATTTTGTGATTTTTTCGAGTTTTGTTATTTTTGTGACGGTGTTGTTCATTTTTACCGGACTTAATATTGAAATAGTTGCCATAGGAGATGGTCACATCCTGTATGAAGTGCAACGGTTACCACTTGTTAAGTGAAACAAACTTTTTTTTTACCACAAATTTGCAAAATAATTTAGTTAATGTAGTCAACAATTTCAACTAAAGTTTGTTTTCTAATAAATGATATCACTGAACACCAAAAATAAAAAAAAAATTTGGAATTTAATTCCTTAAAAATATTAATTTAACCTTAATTGAATATGTAAAAAAAATTAAATCAATTAGGCCCTAATAAATGTTTTTAATATGAAACATATTTAAAGGATATAAAATCTTTTGTATTTATCCGTCAGATAACTCTAGATAACGCTAGATAACTATTAACCATTATGACGAGAACAAAATAGGAACAAAATAAATACAGGTATTCTGTTAACATAAAATCAAACAAATACAGTTCCGCAGACGTATCAGTATACAGAGTTGCGCGAAAGTCCGGAATAAAATTATTATCTCTTCAACCAGTAACTTAAAAAAAAAACGCTGAAACACGTGAATTGATTTTACATTGGACGTATTTGTTGTCGATAAAATGAAATTTGTTTTATCAACCCCTTAGCTGCAACCCTACCCAACTTTTTTTTTTTTTCGTGTGGAGGGGTTATTGAAAAGCTCGGGTAAAATCGAATCTCACAATGCCCTTTTTTTTTCTTTTACTTATGTGGTTGTTGGTAAATGAGAAACAATTCTTTTAATACAAAAAATTACAAATACCTTTTTAGTGCTATCGACGGGTGAATTAACGTATCAGATGTTTAAAATGTCCTACATCCTCTACTTGGCAGGCTCCCAGGCGATGGTAAACCTAATATCGATAGGCTATTTAATTTTAAATGAGTTAACAGGCGAGCCTGGGCAGTCAGAACACCCAATTTGATTGATTTACCAAGTTTAATACTGAGCATCAAGATTCGTTGGAATTTATGTTTTCAGAATAAATTGAAAGAAAAAATAAGTTTAATCCTAAGTAATTGTTGAGCAGTGAACTTTAAAAAGGCAAAAATATTTTTTGTACCAAGCCTTGATAAATATTGCGACTCAGTTTTTAGCATTTCTGTGTACAATTGAATTGAAACGTCTAGTTTATTAACTTGTGTATCTTGAAAGTTTTCTCTTTTAATTTATTAAAAAGAAAATGGTATTGTCAGAGAAATAGCCTATCGAAGTCTTGATATTGTTGGGATGTGGGGATAGAATTCGAAGTCAAAGTGAAGTATGTACTTCATTTAAGGCAAATTATCCCGAAGAAATCACATTTCACAGGGTACTGTTAGTAAGATTTTTCACGAATTTGAAGAACATGGTATACTGAAGGACTTGCCCAAATGTGGGCGGCCACATGTTTTGAACGAAAATAAAAATTGGACATTGCCTTATCTCTGCAGGAAGATCCACATTTGTCAACGGTTTTATTGGCCCAAAATCATGCTGCACGAACGATTTGGAGGTTTTTGAAAATCCCATATAAAGTCAACAACAGAATATTAGGTTCATACTAAGTTGAGCAAAACGTAACAGCTGAACGCAACTAAGAATTTTTAAGATTTGAATTAGCTGTTATTTTTCCCAGATATCCTTAGTGAAACACAATGGTTTCAATAGGACGGCGCTCCCTCATATTTTGATATTAATACCAAAGAATATCTCGATGTAATATTTTTGTAGAACGCTGGATTGGATGACGTGGTATAATTGAATGGCCACCAAGATCCTCAGACTTAACGCCATTAGATTACTTTCGTTGGGGATATCTGAAAGGCAAAGTTTAGCAAAATAAGCCGGCTAATATTGAAGATCTCAAAAACAGAAAATTTCATTTTTTTGGCAAAAAATACGTCCAATGTTTATTTTGTCAGCATTTTTTTTTCAGCGTTTTTTTTTTCAAGTTACTGGTTAAACAGATAATAATTTTGAAAATTGTGAATTTAATATATTGTAGATCGCAAATCGAAATCCGAAAGGTCAGAATTATTATCTGAAATAAGTTTTTAAATAAATTTGAAAATTCGGAAACAAATCTCAAAAATCCTCTTTCGAATTATTAAGACCATCCCCGCACTCCAAATGTGAAAATAAATATTTGTAGATTTGAAAAAAAACTTTTCATTGCCAGGAGTCCAACCCTGATCTTCACGTTTTCCGGACGTGTGCCTTTACCGTGAGGCTATCAACGACATTGACTGTCGAGATTCCTAAACGGAAATTTAAGATGATGGTTCTAGCCAAACAACATTCAGGTTTCTTCTCAAATTTACAAATACCTCCAACGTTCCAATTTTCGTTAAGGAATCTCGACAGTCAATGTCGTTGATAGCCTCGCGGTAAGGGCACTCGTCCGACAAACGTAAAGATCTAAGTTCGACTTCTGAAAATAGCAAGTTTTTTGAAATCAACAAATATCTGTTTTCACATTTGGGGTTCTGGGCTGGTCTTAATAATTCATAAGGGGATTTTTGAGATTTGTTTCCGAATTTTCAAATTTATTTAGATAATAATTTTATTCTGGACTTTCACGCAATTCTGTATAATCCAACACGATAAAATTTGAAAAAAGAAAATAACAAAGAACTCTTATGACAAATGGGAGAAAATGTATTCGTGGTAGGTGACTTTAATACCAAAAGTATCATTTGGAGCTCGAGATTAACAACTACCAAAGATAAGGAATTGCATGCCGCTCCAACTGAAATTGGGTGTGACTACCAGTCAACAGCAAAACCAACATATTGGCCAACCGGAATAAATAAAATACGTGACTTACTGGACTTCTACATCACTAGAAAAATACCCAGAAACTTTATTAAAATAAAAGAAAACTGACTTAGATTTAGATCATTTCCCGGTGATAATGATACTAAGCGATAAATAACCAAAAATAAATTAGACCTAAACTATGTAAGTTTTAAAGCTGAAATAAGTAATATAATTAAACTAAGTCTACTAACAAGAAAACAACTAAAGTACGATCTGGAAAGATTTATTATTAACATACAGCAAACATCAGAAATTACAAGAAAAAACTTAGGCAATTTATACCCTAGAGAAATAAAAGAACTAATAAATAAGAAGCAAAAAATGGCAAATCACCTGAATCTCCGAAAATAAAGTAGTTCTCAACACACTAAGGGCCGGTTCCACCGTTGTGTTAAATGATGTTTATATTACTAAACGAAGATTAAAATAACATTGTTAATGTAAAAATGTCATTTTTATCTTCGTTTAACACAACGGTGGAATCGGCCCTAATACAACAACTAAAAAGAGAAATAATCACTTTTAAAAATGAATCAATAGACACATATCTCAGACAATTGAAGAACGACAAAAATACTGATTACTCTCTGTGGAAAGCGAATAGGAAACTTAAACGTCTAATAGTCCATATGTCACCAATACAAGAAGACAACGGAAACTAAGCAAGATCAAATAAACAAGAAACTATATCTCAAAAAAAAAACACCGGCACACAAAAAAAAAGTTGTCAGTGCTTCTGATGGGACCGGTATATCTTTATATATCTTTAAACAAAATATCAATTCTAACAAAGCACCCGGGTATAATCTATTTACAGGTGAAATATTACAACAAATGCCAAGAAAAGCTGTGGTTAAACTCACTAACATAATAAATGCTACATTTTGACTACAGCATGTACCTAGCATCTAAAAAGTAGCTGAAATTATAATGGTCAAAACCTGAAAAACCACAAAATGAAGTAAAGTCCTATAGACCTATTGCCCTGTTACCAGTGCTGCCTAAACTTTTTGAAAAACTTTTACTAAAATTAAAACCTATGATAGAAAGTACAAAAATATAATAACTGACCACGAATTTGGATTTAGCAACAAGCATGCCACTATAATAATCAAGTTCACAAAATAACGAATGAAATAAAGAAAACACTGAAAGAAAAGAAGATCTGCACCTCACTCTTTCTAAATGTAGTTCCGGCTTTCGATAAAGAAAGGTTAGATAACCTTGAATATAAAATAAATAAACTTTTACCTAAGCAATATTGTGACATCTTAAAATCCTACTTGACTGATAGAATCTTCCGAATAAAACAAGAAAAATAATATGCCACGCTTAATGAAACTAAAGCAGGGTTATCTCAAGGCACTGTTCTGGGGCCAGTTCTTTACCTGTTGTTATCCTGCGATATACCACAAACGCAAAATGTGAAAGTAGCCACATTTGCCGAGACACAGCCATACTTGTCATTGGTAAAACCATAGAAGAATCGACCAGAAAATTTCAACTGGCAACTAATAAAATCTACGAGTAGACAAAAAGATGATGCATTAAGCAAACAGTTTAGGTAAACTTCACTAATAAAAGATCAGTAGAATACCTACCAGTAATATTAAATAATACTAAATCACCATTATCTAATAAACTAAACTAAATAAACTTTTAACACAAACAGGTACTGAAGCCAATATGGACTTACGGCATACAACTCTGGGGGTGTGCCAGTAAAAGTGACATAAATATAATACAA